AACTTCCCTTCCCACATACATAATACTCTTGTTGTTTCTTTTAATCACTGCTGACAGTTGGTGGTTTTTTCTCTTTACTTTAGAAATTTCAGTAAGTCCTTGAATCACAGATGGAGATTTCTCTGCTGAAGTGGTAGACTAAGTAACCTTTTATGTTTAACACTAGTTAAGGAATGATTAGACCTCTAGTTTCCTGATAGCTTCCCTCAACAGTTGTCAAGATAGCATGCTAAAATATTTGCTGTAGCCACTTGATTTTCTATACATTCCCTTGCACTTATACTATAGAAGTTAACTGAGCATTTCTCAACAGCAGAGATCCCATCCCTGCCCCATCCCTGGCAGTGTTCAAGGCCAGGTTGGACAGAGCCTTGGGTGGCATGGTTTAGTGTGAGGTGTCCCTGCCCATGCCAGGGGGGTGGAACTGAATGAGCTGAAGATCCTTTCCAACCCTAACTATTCTATGGTTCTATGCCATTTCCCTTTCTGTCACCATTTTTTTGCTGAAACCTGATGGCTAAGATGGGATTGCTACTGAGACAGAATAGCCCAGTTCTCAGTGACCATGGAATAACCACTCACAACTAATCACTCAGTCATCCTATTAACCTTCACATTTAGCTCCCTAACTTTATTTAGTCTCTCACCACCTTAAAATCTCAACATCTTTCAAGGCTGCCACTAGTTCTTGCTTTTTTCCTTGCCTTCCTTCTTTTTCTATCCTATCCATTTCAAAACAGCAGCAGCGCGTAAGTGAAGATTTGTCAGCGAATTACTGAGTAGTTTAACACAGTTTTCAGTATTTTATACTTTTGTTCACATAATTTAACATTTGACTTTTCTAAGCAGCTGCTTTCAGCTATTTATAATGATGTTGATTTATTTATGAGTTGACCCTAATTTTTCAGACCTCCTAAGGAAACTTGTCCCCTGCCAGTGTTTATGGCAGACTTCATGTGTGATTGTCTTAAACTGTTCACTCTGTTGTTGTGCGAGAATATATCTCCAAATAGAGTGAAATCAGCTATGACAGGAAATACAGTTCCTCTCAAAAGTGTTGAATGCACAATGTGATTCTGAGGAAACAAAATTTCTATGTGGAGACTTTAAATATGACATCACAAAAAAATAGTTTAAAAATAGACAAAAGCTCTTCCACATCCTCTGTCATTTTCCAGAATTACATTCAGGAAAAATGCTTGCAAGAGCTATCAATGGGGCTAAGTGTTAAAATACCGTATTTACAGGTTAAATGTAATAAGCCAAAGCACAAAGGAAATGGCATAGAAAAGTGTACTACAATCTCTGATGATCTGTAGCATAGAATCCCAGACTGGTATGAGTTGGAAGGGACCTTAAAGCTCATCCAGTTCCACCCCCTGCCACAGGCAGGGACACCTTCCACTGGAGCAGCTTGCTCCAAGCCCTGTGTCCAACCTGGCCTTGAACAATTCCAGGGATGTGGCAGCCACAGCTTCTCTGGGCACCCTGTGCCAGCGCCTCAGCACCCTGTTATAGAAGGATAAATTGAGACCAAACTCAGTTAAAGCTCCACTGACATCACCTACAGATCCAGGATGTCACATGGATTCATCACTACTCTGCTGATTCGTGAAGTTTATGGCCAGTGATCCAAAGTGCACATTGACCTAACAAGGGAGGGCTCTCAGCCTCCAGGAGTTCCCTTGGATGGCGTCCAGACCCAAGGGGACAGTCCCCAACAGCAGACCTGCTGCTCTGAGGAGGAGCGACTCCAAATGGCTGCCCAAGGGGCTCCATTTGCACCCTACTTGAATCCAATGATGAGGTACTCCCTGTTAGGTCAGGATCCAACTTCCTCTCCCTGTGGGGAGAAGCTTTGGTGGGCTTTGGCCAGGGGGGTGTACCTGCCATGCACCTTCATCATAGAACATTCCTTCCTTCCCTGTATGCCTCTATCTTGTGAAAATAAGCATACATAAATGTTAAGCAAGCTAATATTTCTTAAGCAATGATGTATTTTATTTGACCAGGTACACACCTGGAAAGCATAGACAAGCTTTTGGGCACACAAGCCCACTATTCAGCTCTTTTGTTTTTTTAATGTTAAGCATATACCTAGAATATGAACATCACCAGTGATATTCAGGTTGGTACAATTAGTTATGTAAATAGAAGTTCTAATTACAACTGGAAAGAGTATGGTTATGACAGAAGTGGTTATCTACATATAAAACTATGTGCTAGAACAGTCTCTAGAAAGCATCAATCAGGTCTGGGCATCTTCTGTGAAAGGCAAGTGAAAAACAATAAAAATATATATTTTCTTAATATAAAAAAGAAAAAGATAAAACCAGGTCAGGGGTCCTGACCTAGCAAATATTTTCACACACTTCCCATTAGACACAAGCAACTACCAGAGGCAAAGGCTGAACATCTGTATAAGAGTTTACAAGATCAGACAATGAAAATGAAAACAGATGTGCCATAGCTGGAGGGAAACCCCCAGTTTAATCATCCCAACAAATTTTCATGGTAGGATTTGCTCCTTTCGTTTATAGGATTTTTTTTCTCCTAAAGGAGATGTACTCTGTCATCCAGTAGGTGATTTCTGATCAAATTAAAGAATACTACCAGCTCCTGTAACAAAAAGGAGATGTCAATCCACAGTCACAACTATGGGACAGCTTGGGTTTCAACTTCGTGCCACCTTTGAACAACACCGGCTGGTATCTTTTGAAATACAGACACAGCAGCACTCAGACCTTCATGAGTTAATCCCACCTCCTTTGGAGTAAAACTCCAAACTAAGATACATTTATCTTAGTTATGGCTCACACAGGTGTCTAAATGACAGAGATGTCTAAATCACAAAGGATCCAGCACGTGTCCCTGCAAATCCTACTAGAGTCCTAATACATCTGAGTGGATTTCGTCATGGCACAGCTATAACCAGCAATGAAAGCAGCACTGATGTACCAATAACGAGTGGTGTCCCTCAGGGATTGGGGTTGGGACCAGTCTTGTTCAACATCTTCATCGCTGACATGGACAGTGGGATTGAGTGCGCCCTCAGCAAGTTTCCTGATGACACCAAGCTGTGTGGTTCGGTTGATCCGCTGGAGGGAAGGAATGCCATCCAGAGGGACCTTGACACGCTTGTGAGGTGGCCTGATGCCAACCTCATGAAGTTTAACCATGCCAAGTGCAAGGTCCTACACCTGGCTCGGAGCAATCCCATACACAGCTACAGGCTGGGCAGAGAAGAGATTCAGAGCAGCCCTGTGGAGAAGGACTTGGGGGTGCTGGTCGATGAGAAAATGAACATGAGCTGGCAGTGTGAGCTTGCAGCCCAGAAAGCCAACCGTATCCTGGGGTGCATCAAAAGGAGAGTGACCAGCAGGTCGAAGGAGGTGATCCTGCCCCTTTACTCTGCTCTCGTGAGACCTCACTTGGAGTACTGTGTGAGGTTCTGGTCTCCTCAACATAGAAAGGACATGGAACTGTTGGAACAAGTCCAGAGGAGGCCACGAGGATGATCAGGGGACTGGAGCACCTCCTGTATGAAAATAGGCTGAGAAAGTTGGGGCTGTTCAGCCTGGAGAAGAGAAGGCTGCGTGGAGACCTCATAGCAGCCTTCCAGTATCTGAAGGGGGCCTATAGGGATGCTGGGGATGGACTCTTCATCAGGGACTGTAGTGATAGGACAAGGGGTAATGGGTTAAAACTTAAACAGGGGAAGTTTAGATTGAATATAAGGAGGAAATTATTTCCTGTAAGGGTGGTGAGGCACTGGAATGGGTTGCCCAGGGAGGCTGTGAATGTTCCATCCCTGGCAGTGTTCAAGGCCAGGTTGGACGAGGCCTTGGATGGTATGGTTTAGTGTGAAGTGACCCTGCCCATGGCAGGGGGGTTGGAACTGGATGATCTTAAGGTCCTTTCCAACCCTAACTATTCTATGATTCTTAGGCAGAAGCTCTTCCCTGTGAGGGTGCTGAGGCAGTGGCAGAGGGTGCCCAGAGAAGCTGTGGCTGCCCCATCCCTGGCAGTGTTTAAGGCCAGGTTGGACACAGGGGCTTGGAGCAAGCTGCTCCAGTGGAAGGGGTCCCTGCCCGTGGCAGGAGTTGGGACTGGATGAGCTTTAAGGTCCCTTCCAACACAAACCAGGCTGGGATTCTATGAAAAGTTATCCATAGATCTGGAGGCTGTCAGTGTCTGTGGGGGAAGATTCCCATAACTCTGACTCAGCACAAAACTAATACACGTGGAAATAAAAATCAACTTCAAACTTCAACAGCATGAGTAATCTACAGGAAAAGGAGACCAGGGCGATACATGCTGTGTACCCTGTATGCCTACACTGTGTCACACAGGTTGGCCAGGGCCAGTGGCTTTCTTCTGCTATAGCCACATCCATCCTGCAAAGCTCAGGTCTCTCCATAATTACATTCAAATCCCACAGACTTCGTTACATCCTAGAATTTATTAAGTACATACTAAACCTTAAGGCTCATAAGGCTTTATAGCACTGGGCCTTTTGTAATTTGCTTGAGTTATGACTATCATCTACTGTGGGATCAGAGCAGCCACCTCAGGGTATAATAGAACAAGCTATTTCTTAATTACTTAATTCTAAATGGAGATGGGAGAGGTTTAAGTTATTAATTTTCTGGGTTTTGTAAAAAAGATTTTCTGGGAACAATCTGATTTATGTGATTGAGCTGGTCAAAACGGGGGAAAGTTCCGCTGCCCTGGTTCATTCAATAAAAAACAGCATGAAACCCTATGCCAAGAACTCAGAGATTTTGGGAAAACAAACCTGAGAAAAAAAGAAAAGAGCACCTAAGGGAGGTATATTTGAGATAGCATCTTTCCAGTAGATCACAGCAAAGTTAGCTATTGTGGTATTAGAGGCAAAGTGATGGAAACAAAAGAATTGTTAAAAGCAGGTTGCTAAACCTGCACAACACTGTGGAACACCTTCATTGAGATTCCTCTCCTTGCATCTCTCTTACATGCAGGTTTTGACCAACTTTGGTTTTCATGACAATGGAATTTTTCCTCTCTGTGATGGAAAGGAAGAACCTCCTCCTAAGCCTATTGCTCTGCTACAGTTTGTTCAGAGCTGCCGATCAGCACATGGTAATTGAAGAGAAGACAGAATGCAGCCTGTCGAGAAACAACAAAAGGAATTTCTCAGATCTCCCACCCATCTCCATAACAGGTGAGTGAAATCTGCCATTCACTGCATTCAAAGCAACAAGAGTTGCAGAAAACACAGTTGTCAACTGGGATTGACAGCTTACTGCAATGTTGTGCTTTCATACAGCTGCCTTGGCAGCAAGCACAACTGCAGTGGCAATGCAGCCACAGCATCCCAGACTGCAAGCCTTGTGTGTTGAAGTGTTTCTGTTAATACGGGCATTAATCTTCCTTTGACAGTTTAGTGCAAATAGAAAAAGTTAACATAACTTGGGGCTTTTAGGGTGTGCTCCTGTGGCAGAGACAGCAGCAGATCTCCAATAACCTCAATTTGCCTGTGGGACAAGTGATCTTTAACCAAGGGAAGAAAACAGCACTGCAAGAGAGAGCCAGAGGTCTTCTATTTATCTGTGATAGGACCAGCTATGTCCCTGTCATTACTGGCAGGTGACCATGGGGCCTGTTAAGGAAGAACCATATTAGGGCAATCCTTAACTATCTTCTTCACAACATTTCTTAGTAGGGTGTGCTCTAAATATTTCCGTGTAATTTAAGCCCACTTCTTTCTTTCAAGAAACAGGTATTTGTGGATAATCAGTTTCAGAACATCATTCATATGGTATCAACACTTCAATAATTCAAAAACTAAAGCTTCTTTTATCCTTCCTATAGGCTTTTAGGACTTCTGCTTAAAGAAAGTTGGCTTCTTACCTTGTTTCCTGTATTTCCTCTGTACTCTTCCTCAGGACATCTTTCTTTAAGGATAAACTGTTACCCCACACATGCATTTCCAATGAAATCTGAGTCTCTCAATCCTAGTTAATTCCAGGTCCTTTAGCTGCATGTTTATTAAAGCCTGCACTGAGAGGCCTCTCAGGCCACACCATTTCATGGTCCCTGTGATCCTAACAGCCTTCACTCTGACACTTCCAATAACTTTTCCATTTCAGTTAAATTCTGAGAGATAAAATACATTCACATCAGCTGATTTCTACCTTCTCACAAAAATGTGTCTGTCCTTAAACACTCATTCTTCTCCTATGTGCATACAAATGGAATGAACATTCGGCACTGAAAACAAGAATAATTCAAAAGAATAGATCATGGCATAAGACTCACCTCTTACATAGCCTGCTTGTCTTGGCTGATCAATCCAGAACAAAAAACACAGATGCAAACCCCACTGTAACTCCATTGACCAGGACTGCACTCACTTTGTTGAGGCACAAGGCATTTCCAGAGGTATCCCAAGGCCCTTCTGCAGCCCACTTGTTCAAGGATGAGAGGCCAGCCTGACCCTCCCCTATCCACACCCAAAGAAAGGTGGAAAAATCACAAAGTGAGAAAACTGAGACACATCATTCCTCTTTTTTCCTCATTCAAAGAAATCTCACCTAAGTTTTGAAATCCTTTATTTTGGAGCTGAAATGGCTCATGCTGTTTCTAGGTGTGTAATGTGTAGCCACTTCACCTCTATCATTTATTAACTAAAATAATTGAATTATGACTTGATTAATTATAAATGAATCAAAAGAATTCATTAATGCATGGCATTCGAAAGTGGGTGGAGAAAGAAGGTGCAGGAGAAAGGACATGGGCTGACACTGCTTTGGGGTTCAGGTTCCAAGACCACGGGACCTTCTAGCCCTGCTGAGAGCAGGGAGATGGCAGCAGATCCCATCATTATTTTCACTGAAGTGAGCTGGGAAGAGCATCCCCTGACTCAATCCTTGTATAGAATCATAGAATCACAGAATGGTTTGGGTTGGAAAGGACCATCCAGTTCCAACCCCCTGCCATGGGCAGGGACAACTCACACTAGACCATGTCACCCAAGGCTCTGTACAACCTGGCCTTGGGCACTACCAGGGATGGAGCATTCACAAATTCCTTGGGCAACCTGTGCCAGTGTGAGCAACCTGTTCCAGAACTGTGAGGCATAGAATCATAGGATCATAGAATAGTTAGGGTTGGAAAGGACCTTAAGATCATCAAGTTCCAACCCCCCTGCCATGGGCAGGGACACCTCGCTCTAAACCATATCACCCAAGGCCTCGTCCAACCTGGACTTGAGCACTGCCAGGGATGGAGCATTCACAACCTCCGTGGGCAACCTATTCCAGTGCCTCACTCCAGTGCATAACTGGAGGCAAATGAATGCACATTTGCTGGGCTCTGTGCATTACACAGCAACTGGACAAAGAAATGCATCTGTGCCTTTCACAGTGCTGGGAGCTGAAATGAATGAGAAGAGTTGCTAGATGGAGAGAGACTGCCTTGACACAATCCTGCAGAGGATGGAAATGAGTCAAAACAGGAAAAACTAATGCAAACAGGGGAAAACAGCTGGAAAAAGCAGCCAGGCAGAAGTGGGAAGGGCAGGGGTAGAGGTAGCTCCTCCAGCTCTGATGCTGCTTCCTCTGCCTACAGCCACAGCAAAACCCCTGCAACACTCAGGAGGAAGGATGGAGCCACATGTGGTAATATTTATTGTAACAGAAGTTTCACAGCAAAAGGCTGACAAGCTGCTCTCACCACCACAGAAACAATTAATTTAAAGCAAATATTAAGAGAGTGCTTAAATCACCACAGCATCCTCCCCCTTCCTCATACTATTAGTTTCTTTATAATTCATCAGTTATCATTTATTTTATGGTAGACATAACTGATTTCCGTATAAGCTAACGGAAAAAAACTTCTCATCAGCTTGATTTAAACATTTTGGATAGAGCTTCCTATCTCAGTGACATCTTACACCAAGCACCGGTCCTTCTGGTTGGCCACACAAAACAGAGACTGAGGCTACATCTCAGGTTTTAAATCTTGCTGTAGCCATACTTGAGTAGCAAAACTCATTTACAATCAGCTGTTTACACACCTGTCAATCACAGCACTCATGGTATCAAAAGATGATGTGTCTGGCTCAGATTCAATAGAACACATGGCTGGAGCTGAATCACAACTTGAAAGGGTTTTGCATCAACTGACATCAACTAGTCAAACATGCAACTGTCTAACTAAAACACATTTTCATAGCACCTCAAACCACAGCTCTATCAACAGCAGTCAGAGGTGTGTGTTGTCAGGATTTTCACAACCCTGTATAACATCTTCCCCTGATGTCACAGATGGGATCTGTAAGGACTTGGCCAGCTGGGCAGCTGTTGAAAAACGCAGCTGGTAGAGTATAAGGAATGTGAGATTGAGGCCAGTCGGGAAAAGCAGATTTTTACCCAACCCAGAGGAACTATAGAAAAGACAATCACATCATTCACCTGTCAAAAAAATCATCTCTCCACTTCTCTCTCATCGGCCCACTGAGCATCATTTTCTTCTTTACCGAATTCCTTGGGGTAATTAAAGTGCATTTACATCTCACCAGTGTTTATATCTCTGCTTAATGACACCATAAACCATTTAACTGAATGATATCAAAGCAGTTTTATAGGCAAAGCAATACACAAAATCCTGTACAATTGTACCATAGACAGAAAATGTAGAATTAAATGGCTCACAAGCATTTTGGTTAACACCAGAAAGTTTTAAAAGGCAGCATAACAAAGCCAGTAATGTGTCAGCTGGAAATGGATCTAAACCACTAATGCTAGTTAGTGTAATGCCTTTTTAAGATGTGCTCTTAAGTTATAATAACTCCACATGTTTGAAGTATAGTTTTTCCTCCCTCTGTTAGAGATGTATAACCTTAGCTACAGTGATGCAAGCACAGTAAATGAAACCCCCCAAACCAGACCAAAATGTGCATTCTTCATTCTGCAATTCTGTAAATCTTGGTAATTATTAAATATTCAAAACTATTTTATAGCAAGTACTGGAATAGACAAGGAGCCAGTGTTTATCAGCAGGTGCATGTAAGTTTTTCATTCTAATCATCCTGACATACAAGGCGTGCTTATGACAGACCTCACACACGTAGAACAAAGGTATCTAAAGGACTGTAACAGATTAGTCAGGTAGGAATTCTTCCCATGTTAGATCTCCAGACAAGTCTCAGTCACGGAGTTTATATACAGTGATAAATAGCACTGGTGTTGATGTGATCATAGTAACAGCTGCAGTAAATGCTGTTAGCCCTCAGGGGATAACATGTTATAACACCTAAAGAATAAAAAGTTACATCAGGCATAGTCTGAACACACACAATTTGTCAGATCCAAGATTCAACTCTACATTCACAGACCTTCAAAGTTACAGGCACATTAATGAAACACCTTTGCAAGTGATGTTTTGGAAGGGGAAAAAAGGAACAAAGAACTGAAGAACAAAAAGTGGCATCATACAGATGAAGAGTTTATGCCAAATCATCAAAGCGGCTTTTTGATTGTGCAAACCAGCATATGCTTGTTAATTCCTGACAAAATTATTCGGGTAACCCCACCTTTTAACAGAAAAACTGTGTAATTCTGAAGGTTTTTCCTGATTTTGTTCAGGTGACTCAGTGCCCTCATCCTTTACAGATTTACACTTCTGAAATGATTTTCTTTGTTTGCATCTGACCAAGCAGTGTATAAAGAAACCCTCCTAAAACACAGACATCATGAGTGCCTCTCTGCTTCACATGAGCAGCAGTGTGAGCTCAGACACGTGATGTCTGAGTGAGGATGGCTCCTAAGATGAATGTCCCCACTGCAAAACATGCAGCAATGAGGTGGAAATGCACATTATCTGCTTCCTTTTGCACAAAAATAGTATGAAGTGTCTCAAATAACATGCTGTAAAATTGATTTAATGTTATGTTGTGCTGTTCTCTTTGAAGATTTAACTAAAAGATCCCAGAAAGTCAGCAGGAAAGAGGCAGAGATAAGGAAATCTTCCAAGGTAGGTGGCTGTTCAGAAATCATCCTTGAATTAGAGTGGTTTATCACTTCCATACTCCTCCTCAATGCATTCATTTGCAAGGTTCTCATGGCCATTCCCCAATTTAAATAATTTGCATACAGTTTGAAGCTCCTAATACTGTCAAAAGAGATGCAAAACATCAATGGTAGAAAGGAAACTATGTGGATTAACAAGAGGTTATTGTCTGGGCTTGAGGGGTCTTGTGGATTTTGATTTTGCTTTCATTTTTTACAGTCCTCTCTTACACAAAAGGTTCTTTAACCTTGATCTGGTTTAAGTATTTGTAAAATCATTCAGGCATCTGCTGCTCAAGGGCACAAACTCACTATCTGCTGATTTTTACCTGCAGGTGCCAAAAACTTAAAGTACAGGCATAGAAAGAAGGTGGCATTCGGTTGAATGTTAACTAGTAATTTTATCACAACAGTAGATTCAAATCGATGGATTTCCTTCATGTGATGTTGCCTATAGGAATGTGAAGTATTACATGGACTGGTCTCCTCTATTTTAATGATTGTATAGAAGAGTAAAAATAGCATTTTTACATTATTATTATTAATATGTTATTATAGCCATTTATAGCCAAACCAGTCATTTCTGAAACCAGAAGCTTTTAGAGCTGCTTTTTTTTCCATTTCATTTGATATCTCATGTGGTTAACCTTCTTTGAGACACTTCCAAAGCTCCCAGGGTGAGCCAGGTTAAAAGGGGCCTCACGACATCTTTTAGTGCCACCTTCAGCTCAAAGCGGGGCATTTTTGTCATCAAACACTGTCAAAGTATTTCAGCTTAAAAGTCCTATGGCACTTGGAGACCTCAGAACATTTTACCTTAAAACTGAAACTCCTGAGAAACTGCCAGGCTGAAAAAGTACATCAGGTGCCTGCAACTGGAGAGCTCCGGAGTTTCTCTCAGGTCCCAGGCACGTGCTGATCAACCCAAAGCTTTCCACCTTCCAAATCACAGACAGAAAAGCAGCACTCCTTGGGTAGGCTGAGAGATCTTTTTCAGCTCACTTACCTTGTCCGCAGTTAAGGATTCCCATGCACAAATTTGATGCAGAAAGGATTACTGAGCTCCAAAGGCAGCTTGAGAAACAAACCATGAGAGGCAGAGCACTGCCAAGTCACCTCCCCTCTCTCCCAGCCTCACAGCTCAGTGAACTATGTGGGTACCAGCTCCACAGATTGGCAGGGAGGTTTCACTCTTATTTGAAGCCTTTGGGGATCCAAGGGTAATTCCTTACTTTGTTCTACTGACATCATTGTCTTTGCATACTCTCATGTCCCTTTGTTCACTGCTGCCACATTCTTCCCTACAGATCATTTTCCAGTGCTCTACCCAGTCATGTTTCTAATTGCTTAAAACAGGGAAACATCTTGCTCTAGCCACTGTTTCCCATGATCCTGTCCCACCACATTTCTATATTGCTACTAACACAGGTCTCACTGCTACCAACTGCCTACTCATCTCAAGCCAGGAGCTGCTGTGGTTCACTTCACCCCTATGCCTTGTTCTGACCCATACTCATTTCACATTTCTATGAATTTTCATGTCTTTTCATCTAGAAAAGAGCTGGACCAAAGACATCTCTGAAACCAAGGCCCACACCAGCTGCTGACTGCGTGCCAGACTTCAAAACCTGCAAACCGCACTTGAATTCGTGTTGTAACTACTGTGCCTTTTGCAAATGCCGAATTTTCCAGACAATCTGCAAATGTCTGATGTTAAACCCAAAGTGCTAAAGCCAGACTGGGAGCACAGTAGGGCTTCTGCCTTTCAATTAGCTTCTCACGTGTAGGTTTCAAATTGCCCCATGTGTGTAGCAATCAAAGTAGAGCTTTGAAGCTGGCAGCTTGCATTTGCCCTTCTTAAAATTAAACTGATAATGTTGAGGTTTTTTCCATTGGGTTAAGGCTACCACAAGGACAGCATAGCACCAGCAGGTTTCAGGGTTAATTCCCTTTTCAGGCAATCAGGATGAGAATTTATATAGGTTGTTCTACCTGAAAAGACAGACCCAAAACAATAACACAATTTTTTAGTCATCTTCCACTGAGCATCCTTACATCCACCTCCAGGGTTTTACTTCTACCACTAACCAGTATCTCCAAGGTGTATAATATACTGGTATATTTGAACCCTGAACGCATCTGTGCCTCATGACTTCCCCAGTTGTATCCATAGGAATTTTCTAATGCTCTGTGCAGGTCTAATTGAGAGGCAATTTCTTTACTAATTTATTTCTAAGCACAGCTGAGGGCTACAGAAATCTTCCAGGCAGGCAAAGATGACGGAGATGACACTCTGAAGGGCCTCAAGCCATATGAACTCTTGTTTCTTCTAACAACCAATCCAAAGCTCAGAGCTCAGAACAGAAATCAGATCTTGACAGAAATATTTCTTCACAGAATATTTCAAGTTAGAAGGGACCCATAAGGATCAGTGAGTCCAAGTCCCTGCTCCTCACAGGATCAGCTAAAACTAAACCATATGACAAAGAGCATTGTGCAGACGCTTCTTGAGCTCTGACAGGCTTGGTGCTGTGACCACTGCCTGTTCCAGGGACTGACCCACCCTCCCAGTGAACAACCTTTCCCTTATGTCCAACCAGAACTTCCCCTGGCACAGCTTCATGCCGTTTCCTGTCACTGGTCACCAGAGAGAGATCTGCATCTCCTTCCTGCGAGAAAGGGCGCCCCTCAGCTTTCTTTCTCCAAGTCAAGTGACCTCAGCTGCTCCTCTTAAGCCTTGCCTTCAATACCTTTCACCACCTTGGTCACCCTCCTCTGGACACACTCTAATGGTCTGATGCCTTCCTTCTATTGAGGTGCCCAGAACTGCACACAGGACTCGAGGTGGGGCCCACACCACTGCACTGTAGAGAGGGACAATCACTGCCCTTACCAGCTTGCTGTGCTTGATACACCTCAGGACACAACTGTCCCTTTGGGCTTGCCAGGGTATACTGTTGACTTGTACTCAATTTGTGATCAACCTGAATTGCCAGAGCTCTTTCCACAGGGCTGCTTTCCAGCCTCTTATCCACCAGTGTGAATGTATAACCAGGATTGCCTTGTCCCAGGTACAGAATCAGGCACTTGCTCTCATTAAATGTCATACAGTCAGTGGTTGCCCAGCTCTCTAGCCTGACCAGGTCTGTCTGTGAGGCCTCTCTATACCCTCTTGGGAGTCCACAGCTCCTCCTAGTTTAGTATAATGGGCAAACTTACTTACTGTACAGTCAATTCCTGTACCCAGATCATTTATAGAAAAATTAAAGAACACTGGCACTAAAATTGAGCCCTGGGGAACCCTATAGGTGAGTGGCTGCCAGCCTGATGGGACTCCATTTACTGTAACTCTGAGTGGGACCTGTAAGGCAATTGGTCACCCAACGTATTATGGACTTGTCTAGCTGCATGCTGGACATTTTATCCAGAAGGATACTGTTACAGTATAAAAAGGTTTGCTAAAATCCAAACCCACCACATTTACTGGCTTCCCTTGATCAGCTAGAAAAATGCCATTGTCACAAAAGCAGGGTGACCTAAAGCTGGTTGCCCAGGACCACATCCATATGGCTTTTGAATATCACCAAGGAGGGTGCTCCACAACCACCCTCGGCAACCTGGACACTGTACTCCAAGCGTGGCCTTACCAGTGCTGAACAGAGGGGAAGGAGCACCTTGACCTGCCAGCAACAGAGCCTAACATAGCTCAGGACACCATTCGCTTTCTTTGCTGCAAGAAAACATTGTTGGCTCATGTTCACCTTGGTGTTCACCAGAACACCCAGGCCCTTTTCTGCAAAGCCACTTTGCAGCTCGGTGGCCCAAACAGATATTCCTGGATGGAATTGTTCCTCCCCTGATGCAGAACTTTGCCCTTCTCGTTGTTGAACTGCATGAGGTTCCTGTCAGACTATTTCTCCAGGCTGTCGTGGTCCCTCTGTATGGCAGCGTATCAGCCACTCCTTCAAGTTCTGTATTGCATGCAGACTTGCTAAAGGTACGCTCCATCCCATCATCCGGATCATCCATGAAGATGTCAGTCACAGCTTGCAGCTGTCAGCTAAAGAAATGGAAAGTGCCAAGAGCCACACCAAGGAGCTAGAGACGCAGAAGCTGAACCAACAAAGTACAGGGTGATGCATGTATGCAATGAAGGAAAAAGACAGACCCTTTCATATGAGAATAAGGGATGTGGTTTTTAACACATATGAACATACTTTTCAGTACAGCATTTATGCATAGTGCATTTCCACAAATTTGACTTCTTAATAAGCCTTTTTTGTAACTAGAATTCATTAGAAAGAGGTTATGCTTTCTTTGACATTCATCTATTGCACCAAAGAATATATATATAACCAAGTACTCTGAAATTGTTATTAGCCTTAGTGATTTCAATTTCCTGGATAAAGATCATGTTGTATTGATAGGACACAGAAATCGGTAAAACATGTACACCTAATACTTCCTTCCTATATTTAGCTTGAACAGATATTTATATGAGGAGTTGCTTGTAAGCGTGAGAGTTCCCTAAGGGATCTATTTGAAATGTCATCAGCACACATGTAATAAAACAGAAACATAACAAAGATGAAGTGTTTAATTTTCAGTTGTCACATACCAAAATGTCTCCACTGAAAACTTACTGGAATTCAAGCTTAGAGACAGACCCAGTAATGCTCTGTGACAGAGTCATTATTTCCTAGAGAATAATGGGATTTTCAACCTAATTATAGCCTGGTAGAATTTAGCACAAATAAATCCCTATTAGCTTTTCCAACTGTTGGCCTATCTTGTGTGAATTTAAAACAGATACTGTATTTTCCCGTCCAAAGTCCTGACTTGATTGCTTATTGTCACATGCAGTGACCATAAAATCTAAGTTTATCCTGATGCATAAAACATATGGTAGAATTAAGATGTTAATGACTATGCCAAACTAGTTCTAAACACCTCTTAGTTTTCCACACTAATTACTGAAACTGGGAGACCCCAGAAGGAAAGCAAACACTGCCCATATCAGACCAATCGTATCCAGGGCTGCATCAAAAGGAGCATGACCAGCAGGTTGAAGGAGGTGATCCTGCCCCTCTGCCCTGCTCTTGTGAGACCCTCCTTGCAGCACTGGGTGCAATTCTGATGTCCTCAAGATAAGGACATGGAACTGTTGGAGCAAGTCCAGCAGAGGGTCATGAGGATGATCAGGGGCTGGAACACCTCTTGTATGGAGACAGGCTGAGGACATTGGGGCTGTTCAACCTGGAGAAGAGAAGCTGCATGGAGACCTCAGAGCAGCTTCCAGTCTATGAAGGGGCTACAAGGATGCTGGAGAGGGACTCTTCATCAGGGAGTGCAGTGATAGGACAAGGGGTGATGGGTTTGAACTGAAACAAGGGAAGTTCAGGTTAGATATAGGGAAGAAGTTCTTTACTGTGAGGGTGCTGAGGCACTGGCACAGGGTGCCCAGAGAAGCTGTGGCTGCCCCATCCCTGGCAGTGCTCAAGGCCAGGTTGGACAGAGCCTTGGTCAACACGGTCTACTGTGAGGAGTCCCTGCCCATGGCAGGGGTTGGAACTGGATGAGCAGAAGTTCCTTTCCAGCTGAAACCGTTCTATGATACTATGATTCTAAGAGCAATCACTCACTCTCCAAATGCTCTCCTTAAATTTGTGGTGCCTGCAGATTACTTTCTGAGGCAATTTGACTATTTTACTGGCAAGCCTCTCAGATGAGATGCAGATGGCCAACACATCACTAAGTCCCTCTCCCAGAAGAAAAGGGAGGCTTTAGGCATTCCTGCAGTGAAATGAAAATATACTACAGTTGCTGCATGGCATATGCACACGTATTTCTACCCAGGAAATCCTTTCAGATGAAATCCTGGCCTGCAATAGAGGAGTCCTTAAGCAGCTGCAAAATTATCATAACACAGTTCACATGTGGCATTCATTTAATACATGTAAAGGCAGGAAAAGACAAAAGTATACCCTCCCTGGTGAACCAGTACAGGCCCCTTTGAATCAGTGGAAATCTTCTATTGACTTTAATATACTTGAATAGCCATCTTCATTGCTCTCTCTCTACCACCATACCAGGTGGATTTAGCTAAGAACAGTGTTCTGGAGGTACCCTTGTTATTTTTGGCAGTTTCCTCAACTGAAATGTCATTTGTGATCTCATATGGGCTTCCCTTCACTCTGCACAGCTGCCTCCAGTAGGTAAATGACAGTACGATACAACTTACAACAGTAATAGCTATAAATTGACCATCAGAATTACACAGCCTCACTCTTCCTTGTGTTCTGTAACAAACAAGTGGCATTAAAAAAAGACCCAAACAAAACCCTAACAAATTCATTAAAGGCTGATGGTCTTCTACCTCTTGGTGAAAGATAGCAATTCTTTAAGTCTTCTAGAAAGGACATGGGAGCAGATGCATTTAAAGTAATTCAACAGCCAGGGGTCCCTCACTCTGAAAAGGCCTCAGAAATACCTCACAGATCCAGATCACTTGAAGCTAGTAGGTTTTAGTATTTAAAATACCTCCTTACTATAAAGCTGTGATTCAATTCCTGATAACTTCTCCATTTGGGAAGCAAATATTTCAAGCACTAAACGAGCATACCAGATGGGTTACTTCCTTTATTCTCTTCAACATGTTCAACATCCCTCCATCAGGACAGCTTTCTTCTAGATGGAAGGGTTTAGTCAGAGATGCCAATCCTTACCTACAAACCAGCATCTTGTTGGCAGAACAGACAATCT